ACTAGAAATGCCACAAAAAATTTTAATTTTGAAGCAAGGCCATAAGCGAGCTGGAAAACACTCATAGCCCCAACAAGCTTTAGTTCTGTTGAACTAGAACTTTTCTGTTATTTCTATTTCTGGATGTTCTCACCCGACTTCATAACCTTGCTCACAGTTTGCCTATCTACATGATTTCTGTGCCTCAGCAGACACCATGCCATTGCAATCCAGCCTATGGCGATTCCTCCCCTGCCTTGCAGATAGGAGAGCCAGTGATCGGCCATTCATTATCCCACTGACAAAGTCAAGCCACACGCATCTGCAGCGTGCTGAAATTTCCTCCTTCAGCAGTTTGCTACATTCAAAATTTATTTTCCCTCAATTCAAATATGCCAGTCAGGTGGAAAGATGAATTTTCCCACACACTGTTTCCTGGACCAAGACCTGGCAGGGTTCAGTTGCCTGGAATTACAGCTGCCCTCTCAGATGGGAAGTGCCTGGGTTTTCAACCTGTGCAAGACACCTTTATTTCACCACAGAAATCTTCACACAAGAATAGCACGTTTGGTATCCTCATATTCTTTTTGTCAGCTCTGTAAAACTTTCTTTATCTTCCAACCAATATCAATTTCAGCAAAACATTTCCTGCACATTTTGCTCTTGGCATACAAGTTACATATTAGAAGTATCCAGTCCATGGCAGTGGTGATTAAGAGATCTTCTCAACCTGTAAAATCTCATCAACACAAAAACATCCTTCCTTGACAAGGCAGCCATGAACAAAAGCAGTTTGATTATGGCAAGATGTCAGTAAACAGACAGCAAGGGCAGCTTTGAACAATGCTCATTCTGGATCCTGAGTGAGTTATCTCCTCATGGCTATTCTGTGGTTTAAGCAGCACTGTCTCCATGCCACGTCCATGCAAAGTGAGCAGAAGTGTGAGAAACCACACACTTGCACCATGCTGGCTTTCACGACTTCTGACAGCCATGGACAGATTCACCAGGACACAAACATGCCTAAGCTCCAGCACAATGCACCTTTGCAAATTCCAAACAGCGTTTCCAGGAATCAGTAAGGGGAGATGGCAATGAAATAATGGTAAAACGAAGGTTTATTCTTGCCAGTAAAAGACACCAGCTTAGTTCTCTGTATTCCCACACATGCAATCACACTATTAAAATGAATTAACTACCTGAATAAGCATTAGGAAAATATATCTTATTTTCCAACAGTGCCCTCAGCCTACTTTAATGTAAGTGGGGCACAAGCTCTTAGCATCTGGTCTGTGATCCTCGGAGCTCCCCTAAAGCTGTCTTGCAGCTAACTCTGCTCTCCTTTCTTCCCCTGGCATTCTGCTGAAGTGCATTTGCTTGTCCTGCAACACAGACCTGAGGCAACTTGGATAAAAATTTGTAGCCAGTTCTCACAAATCCATAGAAACAAGCACAAAGGACTGGGACACTGTTGAGGAAGCCTGCTGGCAAGTGGGTAAATGCAGGGGTCATGGTTGCGCTGAGGAGCTCACCCAGTCAAGGCTGGGATACACCATTCAGGCAGCATCTGCCTTCAGCGCAAGGTGCTGGGAATATGAGGTGACTGCAAACAGAGCCAACAGCGGGCCACAAAGTGTCAAAAAGACAAGGGAAAAGCAAATGTCCATGAGTTACGAGTTACCAACGTCGGCACTGGTCTGCAAGGAACAACCAAACTCAGAACGCGTGAGTACATTTCGGGCATATCTCTCTCATAGAGCTGGAAGCTGCTGTTCTGCCAATGCCAAATATTTCCAAAATGCAGAGCAGGATGCAGAAAGCAGACCTGTGCGCTAAGAAAGAGTGACCTAAACCATCCTCTGCTTGTACTCCACATGTAAACTCCTTCGACATTACACAATACAACACAAAAGATGGATGAGAAAATAATACTGGTGTCTCCCTTAGAACTCCTGATTCATTCTGTACAACAGACATGGACTTCATTGTAACTGCTTCCTGCCTTTTGGCAAAATTAATTAAAAAAGGTATTCACCAGCTCTGCCACTCACTGGCCTGAAACATGGGGCTCACTTTTCCTGCCACCAGTGCGACTGTGTGAAGCCTGGTTTCCTCAGCACTAATTCACTTTCCACAAAACACTTGCCTTTCCTTCCATCCATCCCAACCTACTCCTTCCCTCCCCTGGTCTCCATTCCCTGTCAGTAACAATGGTTCTGTATTTGTTTTTCCCTGTTGAATTCAGCTTTATTCAATTCCATCTCAAGCTCCTTGTTTGTTGTACCACCTTGGTGGCTTCCAAATAGCCCCATGTCTCTGTGATCTTAACCCTGTACTGAAAAGTGAGCACTGGGCTACATCTGTAATGTGCCAAGTCCCCTGCAAAGAGAAATAACCTGAGCACAAGAATCAGTGATTTCAGGTGAAGGAAATGGACAAGAACAATTTTGAAGAGACAGCTTAACAAAACAAACCATCCTCCATTTGAACATCCTGAGCCCAGCCTGGCCTGTAAAAACATTTTCAAATGAAAAGTCATTTTCAAAAAGATTTCTTGACAAGATTCATATCAATTGTGGTTTTCCAGCTCAGTCAGACCCTGAGAACCAAATTCTGTTCTCATTTACATCAGAGCAAAGCTCAAAGGTTGATGAAATATTTCATGTTCACCCTGATGTAAATGAGAGCAGAATTTGGTCCAAAATATTCTGTTTTCCCTACTGACTTTATTACAGGGTAAGTGTAAGGCAGGAGTTCAGGTTTCTTTTGAAGTTATTTTATGGCAAGGAGATAGAGCAGCAGAGATCTAGTTCGACAAGTCTAATCTGTCCTAAATATGCACACAGTGTCTGATGAAAGACCAGAGAGAAGTTATGCAGCCCTGCAACACATAGTTACAGAAGCCACACAAATATTACTGAGCTTACAGCAATTTAAATTGGAAGTATACTGCTAGAAATCTAACCCTGAGTACTTTGTATGTCAGCAACTCAGAGATTCTCAATATACCAGTTGAATGAGTTATAAACACGAAAACTGGAAACCATTACTGAAAACTTGTCCAGGAGGAAACTGGAAAATAACAACACAGAACAAGAAACAAGCAGCATAATTGGATAAAAAGAACAGCTAAATGCAGAACTGAGAAAAGTAAAATCCCCTTTCTTGCATACTCGCTTCACCTGCAACATGCAACAGTTCCACTATGCCAAACGACTTGATCAAGCACAAACAGGAATGGAATAAGTAAATAATGGCAGACAAACTGAATGTTTTACACAGGAATTTTTGAATGTCAGCAGCAGAAAAGAGAGATGACAGAGCAAAACCTTGATTAAAGATGTCAGGAAGGTAGGAAAGTAAATGGGACTGTACACATCCTTCCATGTGGTATGTCAAGAGCACGTTTAATGAGGCTTACAGACCATCCCAAACAGTGGGGTTTTGCCCAACTTATCAGTAATCCCTCACACCATCCTCCCTAATGAGTCATATTTCTTCTATAGTATATAAGACAGAAGAATTTAAGATTGGAATAATAACATTGTACCTTGCATATTTACAGCACTTTCCCCATTTAAAGCACTTCTCTCATATTACCCAATTGTTCTTCTTAACAACCTCATCTGCATTTGCTTCCATGATTCCTTCATTTGACAAAGGTGCAAATAAAGACAAAGATCCCGGCAGCTTGCCCAAGGCTATAGACAAATAAACTAAAGAACCAAACTACAAGTTCCAGTTCTGTGCTGCACTAAAGGACTGAAGACCTTTCCCCAGCAGGAAGCAGAATGTCTTATTTCCATGTTCTGACCATCCCTCCCACTGGTGTATCCCAGAAGCAAAGCTTTGTCCCTGGTCACACAACAAACGATTCCAACTCAACTTCCGCTTCACAGCCGGGGAAGCCTTACCAGCAGCTGTGCCATTCCCATTTACCTCTCTCCTTCAGTAGCTCTGCACACACAACACAGCTAGGCCAGGTCTAGTCTTGCAAAGCTGAGGTTTCTACAACAGGCCTGCACCGGAGATTACTTCAAACCTTTTGCTCTGGCTCTGTATAATGATGAGCACCTCAGAAACACAGCTATTTGTCTATGACATGCAATTATTTACAGAGAATGTAAATCAGAGATTGGTATCTCCCAACCAGAAATAATTCCCCAAACACAAAAAAAAAATAAATTAACAACTTGGCTTGTTGATCATCTGCATTAACCCACTTATAGGAACAGCTGCTTTAAGGAAAAACATGCTACATGTTCATACATAGTCCAGTCGGGACTCATCAAGTCTTAACAATTTTTGAGCTGGAAAGTCTAGATCCATTTTTTTTCTTGGATAATAAATCCACACATATAACCAATATCCAAAATAAACTAGAACAGCAGCTTTCTAGGACTTGATTCCCCCACTAGTGCTTCTGAACCTTCATACAATGTTCTCAAATCCCACCAAACACGGTATGCAAACATGTGATATGCCTGAACATATACACTTATGAATTACACCTTTTTGTCCCACTTGAGCCAACTGGAATACCTGGATTGATTTCAGCAGCCAGTGTTCCATCAGAGAGACTTATTTTGTAGTTTATTCACAAATAAAATTCCTACCAATAGTAAAACCATGAGGTTTGGGTTTCAAGAGCTTGTATAAATGGCTCTGAAAATGGGAGACCTTATACACCATTCCCAGTTGTTTCAGAGACAGAAGAACTGGAGTAAAACTCTCAAGGCCTCCATTAGTTTTCCACTTCAGGGACACAGCTTGAATGACCAAAAGGTAAAGGAAGCAATTCACAGTCTGGATTCATCTTGTTGGGATTATGGCTCTTATACCCAAACACAATGATGGCACTGACTCCACTGTCTACTTTGCAGATCAAAGTGACTTACGGAAAATCCACAGTTTATGGGAAATCCTTACTCTAGGAAATTTAGCTGAATAAGAAACCCCTAGCCAATAGTAAGGGGACTATCAACACACACACCAAATTCTAATAAAGCAGAATAAAGTACCTCCTTGAAATTATCGAACGCAGATAAAATGATTTCATGTCCCCCTCTGACGAGGCAAACAGCTGCTAGAAGTTCTAAGACAAGTGCCTTTGTCCTGTGAAGAAATGAAACAGTAACAGTCAATGACACCACGTGCTGAACCACCTTCTTTCTACCTGCTGGAAACAGATGCAGAGACATAGGGAGACATGGTTTGCATCCTGTGTATTTGTAAATCCCCAAAAACTAGTACACCTGCAAGATGCATCATCCAGGGCATTTTGACTCTCCCAGGATCATGCAGTTTTGCCCAGTTTAATGCTAATGAAAACATGCAAAACTTTAAATCAGAAATTGCATTTGTGGAAACTCAAGCAAACCAAAGGCAGTTGCATAACTCTGGTAAAGGCAGACAACATCAGACTTTGATAGTTTGTTCTCCCAGAAAGTTCACCTGCACAAACCCAAAGAGAAGGCAGTTTTACACAAGCCAGGATCACCACACATCAGCCATTAGTCTTCACGGCAACACAGCCCATTTCACTGAGCCCAGTTTTTAACCAATGCGCTTATAATTCAAATCTGTATTTTTCCTGATACAAATCTGAATTATTTTCTACAATTCATGTTACTGATAGCCATAAAAAATAAAAAAAAAGACATGGTTCACTGCAGTAAATATAGGATGCCTTAGCATGTCTTTCCCCTTTTGAATCAGAAATCTGGGTAACTCATTGACAGCAGCATTATTAATGAGGGAAGACAACACAGGCATATTAATGAGGGAAGACAACAGAGTACTGAGAGAAAAGCATGCAGCAGACTCAGTGTAACCCTAATATAAACCATCCCTGGTATTTTCTTACAGGGTTCACGTAAGGCAAAAGCACCAACTGGACTTTATGGCCAGATGAGCTTTGAGCAGGTAGTAAAATCATGCAGACACATGAAATTAGTCTCATGCTAAAGCATTGACTCAAACCAGATGTTACAGAAAAAGAAATACCTTTTGGCTCTCAAAGTGTCAAGGTTATCTTTGGAAACCAGATAAAATGTTCACTTTCCTAGGAAATTTTAAATGTATAGTTTTCAATTCTTACTCATCCATTTTTATTTTCTGCCACAAGAAGAATACCCAAGCTCTTTCATACAGCATCAAGGAGCTCTTACTACGGATCTTATCCCCTCCAAAGGCGAGCTATGAGCCGTGAGAGAGGGAAGGGTGATCTCTGTGAGCAGAGCACTCAGGGGATGCCCAGGTCTCCAATGCTGCCCAGAGCACTCACCCAACAGCTGCTCACACATCTGGGGTGGAGACAGGGAGCAGACAGGTACAGCTGGGTCTGTGGCACCCATATGGGCACAACCAGAGAAGAGGGAGTCCCTACAGTCACCCTTCACCTGGCCTGCCCAATCCTGCTACATTCAGCTCACAGCATGCATGCTCTTGGGATGGGTTCAGCTCTGCATCATCTCTCAGAGCTGCTGCTTCTTTTTTTGCATAACCCAACCAACCCTAAGCAATCAAACTTCAGACTTCTTCAAGAATTATGATGGGGCTAAACCAAAAAAGAAATCAGTTTAGAACAGCACTAACATTAAGTTTTGTCTTCAGATTATGTTAGCCAGATTTGAAAGCAATTTTTCTTTCATAAACAGAAATCTAAATAACCCACTTCCTTGAAAAATGAAAACTCAGGCTCTCCTGATCACCTGATTTCCAGGCACAGGACACCAAAAATGATAAAAACAATAAACTTCGCATACCCTTCCCATTTATCCTGTGCCTAGGCTCCTAGGCTTTCTGACTTAGGGGTCAATGAAAGAAAGGAAAGTACCTACACACAAACATATATGGTGCTCTTTAGTTTTGTTTCATCCTCTAGTTTTACCTTTCCTTGCAAACATCAGTATGTCAGATTTGGTTTCATTAGACATGCAAGAGGTTCTCTGCTCCAGGCTTTGCTGGAAGTGGCTGCCAGGGTCACAAGTGTGGGGGGAAAAGAGGGGGGACAGCCTCTCAGCCATCAGCTCCCTTGTGCAATTACATCATCACTGCTCTGGCTGAATAGCAACCCGATACAGAACAGGAATGAAACCTCCTCACAAAAAATTTCAAACCTAAGGAACTTTTAGACAAAACTTTGTATATATTTTCTTACTCTTCAAGGAAATCCCATGCTAACCTGCTCATTATCAACAGGGTCTTCTTTGCACTGCAATAGAGTTGGAGTGCTTAAGCACCAAAGTTTCAGCTGAGTCATAGAACCACAGAAAGATTTGGGTTGGAAGGGACCTTAAAGATCATCCAGTTCGAACCCCCCTACCACAGGCAGGGACACCTTCCACTAGACCAGGTTGCTCAAAGTCCCGTCCAACCTGGCCTTGAACACTGCCAGGGATGGGGCAGCCACAGCTTCTCTGGGCAACCTGTGCCAGTGCCTTATCTTCTCTCTGCCATTTTAAAGCCATTCCCCTCCTTGTCCTCTCCCTACAGGCCCTTGTCAGAAGCCCCTCTGCAGATTTCTAGTTTGCCCCTTTAGGTACTGGAAGCTGCTCTAAGCAGCTGCTGTAAGGCTCCCCGGAGCCTTCTCTTCTCCAGGCTGAACAAGCCCTGCTCTCTCAGCGTGTCAAACTAGATGGCAACTGCTCATCTATTTGGATAATTATATAGATTTAAGCTGATCAGAATGAAGTCCGATTTTTACTACAGGTTTATGCATAAACATAGCTCTGAAAATCCCTTTCCGGTACTCTTTACTTACCTACTTCTTAAACTCTCTAAAAGCAAGTGAAGCCTACCTGGGATTCTTGTTGTTCAAACTTAGTGCAATTTCATTAACGGCATGTGGATGTGACATGACCATATTGAATCCATACTGAAAAGAGAAGGGGAAAATATTATTTCAGTTTTGAGACTGAAATTATTACTTTAAAAATCCAACAAATTATATATCTCTGACCAGATCTGGAGACAGTGTATTACAACACTGTAAGCCAAACAAAATGTTGTAGAGTTTACTAAGTCAGCCAGAACATTTCCATATACCACTGTGCCTAACAAATGCTCTGCCACTAACAGTGTCAAAAGTACTTGGTTTAGCCATGCCAGCCAACTAAAAGGGGTAACAGAGCTGCTCCTACACCACTACCAGCCCCTCTGCTTCTCCTTTTCTCCCTCCAACCCCTTTTAAATTCTGACAGCAAAGTGTATTATTTACTCTCTAAAGAGGATTTTGCAATTCAGCTGCCAAAATCTCTTCTTTTCCAGGATGCATGCTGCCACACAGCAACTACATCATGCAGTTTTTGCACAAGTACTGCTGGCTTTGCTCTCAAAAAATAAAGAAAGAATTCCTTTGGAAAATACTGTATTGGTTATTAGCACAATATTGTTGTTGGCATACTTCCCATCAGAGGTAAGACACCTTGTAAATCCCAGGGAGCTGGTATCCCCAAGGGCAGACTCACATACGCAGCAGTGTTACAAAAACCTTGTACAACTGTACAAGGTGTTCACCACAGGCTTTCTTTGAAGCACGCACTTTTAGCAACTACTGTTTTAGCAAAAGATCCCAGGTCTCTGAAGCTACCTGGGCACGCCGTATGATCACAGCATCCCACTAAAGAGAAAAAAAACCTCATAAAAATAAGATTAGCTTTGGTCTATTTTATTCTTGGACTTGCAGTTACTGCAATTGCCTTGCCATAAAAATGTTACAAAAGTAAATGCTTGGATCTTCCATCAGTGTATAGCTCTTCTGAAAAATTTATGCATTTCCTAAGTGTCAGTACTAAATGCTGAGACAAACTGTAACTTCAGCTGGGTAGCTGCATGTCTAAACAGTTAGTGCAAACTGAGCCCATTGCTGCAAACAGGACTGGCCCGACATGCTCTTGTCTATGTGTATCTTCACACCTGTACTAAATCATGTGCATGGGTACACAAGGACTGTGTTATATTGCTTCCCAGCCACACTGCCTGAGTACGAATTTAAACCTTTGCATTAGTTTTTAACAATCAGCCACTAATCTTTTACTCCCCCCTCCCAACAACAAAACAGTTATGTGGTCCAAAAGAACAAAAAGGGTAATACCTGATAATTCATTATGGCCCGTAAACACATGATGCAGACATGAACATCATCTTTTTTACTCACTAATCTGGAATTTTTTAGTGTTCTTCGGCTTGGCAAGGTGTTATACCTGCAAACAAAACCAGCTCTCATCAATCACAAGACTATTTTTAAGGTGGTAAGAATAAAGGAATATGAAAATGCAGACATCTTTCAGTTCTGCAGAGCAGACAACCATCAGACAATACACATGCAAATAAAGCAGAAAAAGGTCATGTGCTGTTTACGTTGGCAGTGTAGGGAGCTCCGGATGCACAGCTCCATGACAGGCTGCTGGCCACTCAGCCCTGGGCCAGCACAGACCACGAGCTAACGGTCCGAGCCCTTCCACCCAGAGCTGCCCATGCCACCAGCCACAGTGTTACTTGTCTGGAGCCAGGTACCTCCATCTCTCACAGCATGCAATAGGGAAAAAATGATCCACCCGCAAGCAGAGGTATTTTGGATTTTTTTCCATGCACTTTACTTTGCATGAGCAATGACACAGGCTTTTAATGGAACTGAACATTTGTAGGCATCAGCAAATGTATTAATTCCTTCTGCATTTCATTTAAGAATGGTGCCTCTCTTCTATTCTGCAGCTGAGCTTTCTGAAAGCCCTCCAAATTATTTGAGGAAAACACAGCCCTTAGGAACTTTCCTCAGAACAGAGGCATTAATTATTTTAATGGCAACCCCTAACTAGTAAATCAACCTTGAATTCAATTAAATAAGTATACAGAATAAACACAAAGGGAAATCTTTAAATCTGTTGTTTCTATGGCATAGTAAATGAAAACCACATTTCAGCTCTTCTTCAGATACTGCTTATTTTCTTTAAGAAAAAACATGCTTTATGAGTTGAGCACAGGAAATTGGAGACAAGGAGATAGACTGCCATATGAAATACATATATGTTCTTATGTATATGTAATTGAATAACCAATGGGAAAATTACGATTATGGTCAAAACCTCTTTTGACAGTGATGTACTAACTGCTGCAATCACCTGATGGTGTTTGTGGTGCCGCTGGCAAGCCCCAGGACCAGCACAAGCCCCATCCAAGCTGTGGGGATCTGCGGGGCTGCCCCAGCTGTGCCAGGGACATGAAGGATCTCTGCAAAGCTGCACAGGTTGCCCTGAGCAGGCCCAGCCAGCAGCATCACAGGTAATGTTGACAGCGAAGGCAAAGGGTGGTGTTTGGGCTTGGAAAAACAAATTATTGATCCCACTCTCCCAATTTACAGTGTAAAAACAGCCCAGAGAGAAGGTCCAGACAGGTTCTCAATTAGTCACATGGCTGCAGAATCCAGAGTTTTTGCCCAATTTAGACCAATGCAGGTGAGAGCAGAGACCAGAATGGCATCAGCTCACCAGCTAACAAAACCTCTAGGCAGGCACAGTAATCCTTTTGCATTTCCAGTTATCACACTTGGGCTGAAAATAAAGAAGAAAGTATCAAATTTGCTGATACAAAGACAGAAAGAAAAATAATGGGATGCACGAGCAGTGATGTGCAGATTCTGACACTTCTTATGCAAAGAGCAACTCCACTGGGTAAGGAAAGAGAAATTCATAGACAAAGCTTGACTGCTGAATTAAATACAACCTCCAGTAAAAACAAGGCTTCCTCAAACAACTGCAGCTGGCCTCACACTCACCAACGCCACCTTTGGAGCCTGAAGAACATACAAGGGAAGGCTTCACTTCTCTTCGATTCCCGAAAACTGCAGTGGGGAAAGCTGCTGGATTACATCCTTAGGTCTCACCACAGTCCCTAACCAGGGAATCAGTGCTGGTACCCAGCAATGACTCAAAGCACAACTGCAAACCAAGGCAGGACAAGATACAAGGTGGGGAACAAGAGGGCTTCCAGGGGCCATGCAGATCCAGCCTCTTCCATATGAGAACTATCCCAGCACTCCAAGAAAGTATGAGTGTCATGGAAGGAGTCATTGGGGAATAATCTTTAATTATGTGGCATCACACATAATTATCAGGTGACAGGATCAAAGCAAACCTGGTAATTTTCAAGGCACTCCTCCACACACAGCTCTGGAGAGCAGGAGTTCAGCACGACCACTGCAGAGCCCACAGCCTGGCACAGGCTCCAAAAGCACACCAATTCACAGAGGAAAAAAGTTCCACTGAGAACTATTAAACAGGAGAAGCAACCCTTAGATCAGGATGCTTAAATCTCCAGACTGCTGGAAGCATGTCTGCAGGAGCCTGAATGAGGAGAAACATCTCTGGGTATCTGCCTTGCTAGTACTAAGCAAGTGCCCTAAGCATCTCCTGCCCTAAGCATCTGCTCCTGAGCAATATGACAGAGGGGTGTCAGATACAGCTTTGTTGTTATCGCACTTCACCGTTTTCCTCTTTCTTCCCTCTCCATATTTTAAGTGCATTTGGGCAGTTACCCTCTTTATTGCTGATGCTGCTGTGCAGCTACTTGTTTAATCTGTGCTACTCATCTTGTTTAAAAGAGGTGTAGCTTTTAAAATTAGTGATTAACATTATTATATTAATAACCATAATTAATAATGATATATAATATTAATAATTGTTAATAATACATGAACAAGTAATAACAGACTTGTTTTATTCTGACTCATTAGCTCATTCTCTGACACAAAGAACATACTTGCAAATTTTCTCCCCTTAAACGTATAAACCAAACCAAACGAGGTAGCTCATAGGAGGGTATGGGTGCACAGTGTGCTGGGCAGCAATCACAGCTCACCAGCACCCTTGCTGTGTCTGCCTTCATGGCTGCAGGAGCCTTCCCCACCCTGCAGCTCCAGCACAGGCCTAAAGCAGAACACACAGCAAGCTCAGAAGCACAGTGCCAAACCACCCTGCCCACGGACAGCCAGTGATTCTCGGGCTTCAGCAATTACTTTCCTTTGCTTTCATTTTCCAGGACTACCAAGATGAAAGAAACCCCAAAATTCAAAGTAGTATTCAGTCAAACTCCTTTTTCCTCCCCCCCCATATGAATGCATAAATCAGCTCAGGGCACTCCAGACGGATTTCAGGTTTGTGGGAAACATGACCTAGTTTTGCCTGAGAACAGCGAGTGGTTGCAGCATTGGAGCTGTTTCAGGGACCAGACCCGAGGAGGGGTGCAGGCTGTGCCTCAGAGGACCAGAACAGGACATGGTTGTTCCCTGCACTGCAGAGCCATCCCAGCTGGCCCCAAGCCACCATGAGCACTTTGGATGGGTGCTGCACTGCACCTCACACTTCAGCTCTGGGGTGCTTTGTCTGGCTGCTCCTGGTGGGAATGTGACAGGCCGAGGAGCTCCAGTCAGGCTGTGCTGCCTGTGTCCCCATGGAGTGCTCACACACAGACCCTGTGCTTGGGGACTCATTTGTTTCCCACATCTCCCTTCCCAAGACAAAAGAGGAGTAGTGCAACCTTTAACTGGGAGCCCTATGCCGAGTCTGAACTGGGAAGAATGGAAGCACCGCCAGTCTTTTTTTCTGGAGAATGTGTAACTAGCGTATTTCAATACATTCATTTCATTGAGTATGAAAAACAATGCAATAAGAAGATTCAAAAGTAATTTCTAGGCATACAGAGATCATTCCTAAAATGATTTATCTCAGTTTTAAACCACTAAAGGCTGCATACATTATTTTCCTTTAAATTTTAAATAAGCAGAATAATTAGATCATTATCACACCACTGATAGAAGAGAAAAAAAATCTTCCTCAGGGCCTGGTGTATCAACTCCTTCAATTTCAGAATGCCTTTAAACATCTGACAAAGCTTTGTCAGCTGTAACGAATGGGAGCAAGTTCTTCTTAAACTAATAAAAGATGACCATAAAGCCAGAATTTGGCATTTCCAGCTGTTTGGGGAGTGAGGAGAAACAGGATCAGGGAGCAAGGATACTCTGCAATGCAGCAGGACCCTGAAGCACACTGAGTTTGAGTTCCCTGGGTGCTCAGCTTGAGATCCAGCCACCTGGATGGAGTCTTCCCAGGCTGGGAGATGGGGATGCTCCCCTCTACGTTGCTTGCTGCCTTTCTAGGCACCTAATCGAAAGCCCCATGCTGCTGAGCAATGCAGGCACCAAAAAGAAGGGTTGAGGTGAAAACTATTCACCTCTTCTGAAGAAATGGAGAAGACTGATGAGGTCTGCAAACATCCTGTACAGCACTACCTGCCTGCAGGAAAACTGCTCTTCTGAAGCCTGGAGATGTTCACTTGAAGTCTTATGACCAGCCATATAGGCAGAGTCCGAGGTAGCTGCTGTGTTCTCTTCCCAAAACCCAAGATAACCTCAACCCCTGGGACTCTGCACCAGCCCCAAGTTGCACGTCATGCTCTCCTTGCAGCAGTCCTCCTGCCCTCCCCACCACCCTGCACACCCCTAGTTGGCAGTGTGTTACTCAGTGATATCATCAGTGATATTCAGAGCCCACACTCGGGCTCGCAGAAATTCCACCCGTGTTAGTTTACGATTAGGCTGAGAAATAGGTACAGAACATGCAATTGAGAGCTGCAGTGCAGAGAAAATATCTCTAGCACAGATGTGATTCTGCCCTAGATTTAGATCTCTTCCTTTCAACAGATGCAAATTTCTTCACACAGACATGAATGCCAAGAATTAATAAGGATTTCGGTTTTTTGTACAGAAACTCTTCTACAACAACTCTGCACACTGGAACTAAGGCTCAAGATGCTTCCCCTGTACTAGCAGCAACTGCAACGACCCCTGATGTTATTTGTTTCTTTCCCAAAGGCAAGGCAGACCGGCAGTAGCCCTAACACCTCCTTCCATGCGACATGAGCCAAACCAGGGAGGATGATCTTCTTTTGCTTTTATTTCATTTCTTGTTACTAAACATTAGGCTGATCCAAGCATCTGGATTAGTCGTTGGTTTTGATTTCCTGTCTACTGCAGGTCAAAGATTATGTCACCAAGAGTATATTTATCCTGGTAATTAAATTCAGATGGTTCCTCTTTTATTTCCTCTGCCCCTCCTTTAAAGAAGAACTATAAAACCTTACTTCTGAAAAAAAGCAGAAACAAAAAACCTGACCATGTGCAAGCTCCTGCAGCGTGTAATGCTTTCCTCCTGCCAGCCATCAGCAGTGGGTATAGGATGTCACACGTGGAGAGAGAGCTGCTCCACAGCTTCATGCCTTTGCTGCTGGAGACTGAGGGGGAGTACGTGGGATCCAGCATCTCCACAGCTGGGACACTGCACCCAGGCAGGAAAACCAACAACGGTTAAAACCGAGCCTAAACTCTGCTGAAACATCATAGTTTAAGGTTCTTTTTCTCTCCCAGCTCTAACAGAAGTACATTTCTGTTCAAGAATAACTCATTCGTCATTTTTATTCAATTTGTTAACAATTTAGTTAATGCAGTGCTTGTAAAGGAAATGCCGTGATGTCTCCGGAACCAGGCTGGGCTTTTACCCACCAACCTCCTACAGAAAGGTGAAAAGGACCATTCAGCCCAGCCAGCCTGAAGAAATTAATTTTGCTAAACTACTCCTGCCTCTATGTCCCACTTACTTCGTTAACATGATCAGTCAGAACTGGTGAAAACATGCAGTGTGTCCCTGACTCACCCAGCACTTTGTACAACCAAGATCTAGAAAACACAACATGCAAGGGCATCTTCTGGTGCAAAACAGCTCACACTGACACTGAGGGCCACAGATGGATAATCAAAACACCTACACAACAAACTAGGATACTCAAAGTAAATAAAAGCCCTTTCCACCATGATAAGTGAGCACGAATCTCAATACAAACTCCTGCCATTTCCACCAACGGCAATGGGAGGACTAACATGCTTAAAATGAGAACATATGCCCCATACAACAGTGCAGACTTTTAATGCACTGCATTAATAATGAATATAAATTATAGATGGTTTCTCCTATCATTTTTATCTTATTACCTGCTAAAGAATAAAAGCCCCATTTGCCAATGCCAGCTCCCTCAGAGTAGAAGCAAGGAGAGCAGAGACAGAGGTCCACAGTGGACCAGCAGCTCGCCCAGTGCTATGTGTATTCTTGTTTGGAGATGGTGGTGTTTGTATTATGAATGTCCTTCTGACAGCAGAAAGAAACTCTGGATGGGGAAGGTCTTGGTGCTTCCTACTAATTTTGGATTTGTCTCATCTCTTAGAGCAAGTTACAAGCTGGGTCTGCTGGCCATGGGGACCCTGAACTTGTACCCTTCTGCAGGGGATGAGGCTGAGAGAGGGAAAGACCATGAGCCTGTGCTCAGTGGCCTCCAGAAGCTTTAAAACCAGTGAGGCACAATCAGCTCCTTTATTTGTGCAAGGCAAGAGAAAGCAGACAGCTGTGCTGCCCAAAAATGTCTTTTCTGCCATTTCAAACAGGGCAAGAAAGCTGGTTTGGTCCCACATATGTAAAGAGAATAAATTACTTCAAGCCTGCTGGTTTTGTCTTAATCTAACAGAATCTGGGAAGACTATTAATCCTTAAATCTGAGGATATATTTTCTACCTTAAAAAGGTGAGAAAAGAAATGGAAATAGCCAGGTTTGGTCTCCCTCCTTCCTCCCAGGCTACGCAGCCAGGGTGTGTCTACAGATGCCAATGCACACCCAGGTGGTGCTCAGCTCTGCTACGCCATGTGCATCCCATGTAACCTCCAGCAAGGGAACGAGCATTTCTTCACTTCCATAAACATACACAGATGGGGATTCTCCCCCACTTTGACCACAACAGTCATCTACAAACATTCCACAACACAACCAAGCAGGCTATCTGAAAACAGGTACATGCTGCATTGGAGTTACCCTCAGCTGCCAGGGACACCACTGCCTGAATAGTGCCTGTCTAGGGTCTATGAAGATCATGGTCTTCAGGTAGAGGAACCAGAAGAATTACAAGACCAACCACTGGCTGCTCAAAAATACGCTCTTCTAAATTAGCAAGTATCTGACACAAATTACAATGACGAACTCAGCTGATCCCTGAGCAGTGAAAGCGTTAATGGCAAAGTCCAAATTAAATCTTTGTAGCATACATAGTCAGTGTCAAATTTTAGTCCAATTGTTGAATGCATTCAAAGCCCATTTATAGATTAAGATATATTTGCCTAAATTGCTCTCATTATGGACTCTACAGATTCTGAAGAAAGAAAGTTTCTCAGGTTCAATCCATACAAAAAAAGAAGTATTTGACTCAGAAGAAAGGGAATTTCTAATGGGCTGGGACATTACAAAGTCTGCATTAATATTTATCTGACAGCAGAGTATGACTCTCATGTGAAAGTAATGCTCCTTCTCCCCCAGAAAAAGCAGCAATAAAATCCCCAAAGGTTCATCCCTGCTTTTATCCTTCTGCCCTCATTTTGGTGTTTGCTTCCCAAATCCCTGTGCCTCCTCTTAAAAAAAAAACCCTTAGTTGCCAAGGAAACCCAGTGAGCAGGGAATTGGCAGGGTTCAGCATTACTAAAAAAGACCTACTGGAAGCTAGTGAAAGTCACAATTAGAAATGGATAGCCTAAGCCACGCAAACGAAGAAGAAGCCTCCGTGCCCATGTCACCACCGGGTGAGTTCACACCACAGCAAGATTGCCCAGAAACTGCTCACTACAATGGAGCCACACGGTTTCCAAGAGTGCATGGGGTATAACCCTGCCAGCACTTCCTAGTGTTGCTTTGTGCTTACCTCCTGTTCCTTTTGTATAATTTAACCTCAGGGTTCTGAGGACTATAGCAGGTTTAGTGCTATTGAACCCTGAGGACAGGCAGGAGAGCTCGTGCGATGACGCTGTCATACAGACACCAAAAATGAGAAAACATGGTGTTAAGGCTGGCAAGTTAAATACTGTCTCCCCAAATCTTCTTGCTATTTTAATAAAAAGGAAAGGAAAAAATAAATCTGTTCTCATTTTTCATACTGATACGGCATTGCAGGGATGAGTCCAGCTCCTGAATTTTAAATTACCCTGTTAAGATTATCAGCCTCTTCCTTCTTCATCCAAGAGGGAGGACCACTTCTTCCATTCTCTCTATTTGAATGGGTTTCAAAGCAAAGATAGAAGAAGAGATTCCACACAGAAGAACCTATGGCTTGAGTGTCCTCATGTCCAAAAATGCTAATTCCATGTAAATGTTGGACAGTTTTTACCTGCTGTCCAGGTAAAAAGATGGCTCTGCAGGCAGGAGGGGCACTTGGCTGAAAAACACCGTACTAGGTTGCGTTTCTGTGTCTGTTTGGATATGAGTGAAGTCTCTATTTGCAATAAAAAAGAAGTAAAACGGGCAATGACTAAGGGCTCTATGTCTGAGGTATGAAAGTAATAATACTATTTGCAATATGATAAAGGAAACTAGTCCCCTGTTTCCAAGTGAAACACATTTTATTTTCTTTTAGAAAATTCCACTCTACAGAAGCAAACTACACTTTGAAGTTATAATGTGATAACCACACGTTTTGAAGAGTGGAAAAACTCCCCCTGATGCTCAGGTGGTTGCTTTACCAAGACGTACGATTACCAGATTATAAGGCATAGGGAGCAGTGCTGGTCACGCGGCTCCCATGCCCTGCACAGCCCATGTTGCAGGTAACCTTGCACCTGGGACTTACGAGGTTTTCCAGCTCGAAGCCTCATCAGCAGAGCACAAAGTGAAGCTGCTCCAGAGGCAGTTGGTTGAAAAGCAGCTCTGGCAGCGTTTGAACTGAAGTTGCTCAGGGAGAGAAACCAATCTGATGATACATGAAAAGCGTGTGAAAGCAGAGGAGGGAAGGACGTGAGAGAGAGAATTGGAGAAGAGGATGTGAAAGAGGGAGGGGAACGAAGTATGCAAGGAAGGAGACATTGACATGGAAAATAAAAAAGGTAAGGAATAAAGGGGAATGTGAAAAAGGAAAAAGGATGGAAGGAAACGAAGAGAAAAAAATGTAAGAGACATGTAACGTATACCTGACATGCATTTCTAGTGCAACTAATCACAAGCATGCCTCCCAAAGAGAGCAGAACCAGACATTCTCCTGCAAGACCCTACCATTTCTCTGTCATAGTAATTAAAGACCAAAGAAAACCAAAATCACTAAGAACACCTTTGCAATATTACAAAAAAAGATCAACTGGTCAAGTGATTATGCTGCACTCACAGACTGTATTTCTTTACCAGAACTGTCTTTTTCTCTCCACTGCTTGATGTCTGTGAACTACATCTTCCACGTATCACATCCGTGACCACTCAGGCCATAGATGGAAGGCACCCAACATCAACTGAAGAGGTAACATTACCATTGACTGACAAAACAAAACTGAAACTCTGGTCCAAGATGAAGGAAAAAGCTCCTCTCACTAGCTCCATCGTTTTGGACTCTTCTATGCTCACAGTATTACGTAATAAAACTCCATAAAAGTCAAAAAGCATTCAGCACTCTGAGCTGTGCCCCTAGGTAACAGCACTGCTAGTTTAAAGGTGGTATTCAGTATGATTTATAATGGTAAAGCGTCAAATATAACAGAGTTGACCGTCATTCAGTCATTTTCCACAAACTGGGTTAAAAAACCCCAACAGTATTTGGAAAGAGAGACTTCATAGTAAAGCCACGGTGGTGTGAGAATTAACAGCAAGTTTGAAGAAAAAAAAAACCTAGTTCATAGCAGCATGGAAGGAATGTGCTGCTAGAAGAGACCTTTTTGGATGAGACACCAGATCAGAGCACCAGACTGGCCAGGACCATGGAAATCTTGAGATACATTTTGGAGAAGAGGAATTACTTCCTCTGTGCAAGCCACATTGTACCTGATGGAAATGTAATGTGCATCCTTAGGTCGTTCTGCCATTGGAAAGGGAGGCAGAGTTATTCTTGTCTCTTCCTCAACTGCCATGTAATGCTGCCCCGTGCTACTAGCTCAGCATTTTTTTCCACCTCAAAACCATCACTACAATGACATGGTTCCAACATATGTCAAGCCTATACTGTGAAAAGGGGGAAGATGAAAAATATTCTAATTGGAAAACCATACTGACATCTCTCACTCAGGCTCTCACTGTTTGCAGGTTACCAACTGCCTGATTAAAAGCCCTACCGTAAAGTTGAGTGTCTGCCAGAACGGGAAATGCTGTTGCCAACTGGTGAGGGTAAATTACTGCCTCTGTGCAGGTCCTCAATAGATCGGCTCCAAGGTTTGGACTTGTCCATTGAGTTTTCCACATTGTTCTCCAAACTTTCAAAGTCAAACCTGAAAGGAAACAGAAATTCCAGCACCAGGTTAGACAGAAAAGATGCACATAGCATCTTCCTTCCTGTTCAACATCTGCAGATTTTAGTAGAATCAGAATCACAGAATTGTTTAGGTTGGAAAAGACATTCAAGATCACTGAGTCCAACTGTTAACCCAGCACCACCAAGTCCATCACTAAACCATGTCCTTAAGTGACACATCTACATGTCTTTTAAATACATCTCTGGGGATAGGTCCCAAAAGATATCAAAAAGAAAGGAAGAAAGCAATGCAGGCTAACTTCCGTTTGGCTGCAATTCAGTGTGAGCTTCAAATGCACAGTGCAGCAAATTTGGACCTTGACAAAGGGAGCAGCTAACCATACGAGCATTCAATTTCAGAAGGATCAAACAGCTGCGTATTATCCTACTTCAATGTAAAATAACTACAACATTGACTGCTTTGCTGACGAATAGGCTCTGCCTTGAAGAGTGGGAATGCTTAAAGCTGTCTCCGTTTTATTTGAATAAATCAATACGTTGTGCAAGTACTAATTCATTTTACTCCATCAATATGTGACCGAGCATTCACACAGACTTGTTGGCCCTCACACATCTCCTGGCATATGTAATATATTATCATAATCGTTACAGATTTTCTTTGATTTCTGACTCATTGCCCATTGTACTGCTATTTCAAGCAAAAATTGCTTGTTCCCTTTACAGCTTTTGAGGTTATTACTCATGTTTACCACGTTAGAGAGGAAAAACCCAGCAAGCAAACTTGCATACATTCGTATGATTTTAGGAAGAAAGTCTTTATACAAACACTTTTTTTTTTTGCTGTGCACAGTTTTTTCCAGTGTTAGTAACGTTTTAAAACATGTAATTTTCCTCCATTAATTTTATTGCAACCCAACTAAAAATCTCTTTTCTGTGCAACGATATATATAGATCTGATGGCATCTTTTCTAAAAATAAAATATCAACTCTACTCAGCTTGAGTTCCTAACTACAGTATCTTTAACCTACTGCTTTTCACACTTTTATACCAAAATGTACTGCTGCAATATCCTGAATGAAAGCGTGTGGATATACAAATCTAGAACTTCAGCTGAACATATTTCCAATTGTATGATATAACAACTAACGAAAGCTGATTTTTTCCCTCTGATTTGTTTTAAGAGAGTATGTTTAATGATTTATTACCTAAATGACTAAATCTGACTCCCAACTACACAGACATCAGAACTGTAAAAGCTGTCTTGAAATTCCTTGAAATTGCTGTCCTGCAGCACATATACTGCACAGGACGCCAACAGCTTTGCTTATCAGGAGCCTTGTCAGAAGTGGTTGGTGTGTGGATGTCACTTTGAACATGATAGGCAGTATTACAATGCCTTGGAGTTGGGCACCAATTACAAACTGATTTCTGCCTGCTTCCACACATTTGTTGAATGGTTTTTTTCACTGTACCCCTGCGACAGTCAGAGGCCAAAGCTAAAAACTATGTCAGTACAGTCTTAGAAATAATCTCAAGGCTTAAAGTTTCTTTTTTTCTATAAAATGTTATCACAGAATCATAGAATCAACTAGATTGGGAAAGACCTCTAAGATCATCAAGTCCAACTGTTACCCCAGGACTGCCTATGATGCAATAGGTTTGCATAGAACCCCTATAAGGCAATAGGTTTGCACTACTAGAATTTTCTCTGCTCTAATGTGGGTACATTACTCTGTATAGAGCCTGTTGGCTCTGTATAGATGACAGCATTCTTGCTCTGCCTTGCAAGCCCAGAGAATACCAGGCAAGTCTTACTTACGTGACTGCATACTGTGCAAACGACAAGTACTCCACCAGAACATCCAGGCCTTTGTTTTCTTCATTCAGGAACTCCCTGACCCATCTGTTAGAAAAATTATCAGACATCAGAGCATTTAGTGGTCTTTGTGAAGTTACTGGAATTCTTGTCAGATAAACTAGAGACGGATCCATCGCAGGAAAGGCAGCACTGCTGAGTAGACCTTTGCTTTCCCACTCAGGAAAATAGGACTTTTTAAAAATGCCCTTTATTATTTAGAGGATTTTAAAACAGTCCTTTAGAGGACTTTAGAAATGTATGGAAACAAGCTTTTTTTGCAGTACTATGATGGGAAAAATGCCACGAAATAAAAAAAAAAAAAAAAAAAGCACATAATCCCCATCCTATGCACACTCTGCATTGCTCAGAAACTAGTATTTGCTCTTCCAAGTACTAAGCTCTGGAAATGGTAAATGCCTTTCCCATCATAGTGGTGGTGCTGGAAGAGGTCCTGGGTGCTCTGACAAGTTCAGCTGCTGCCCAGCTTCACTCCAAACCCAGGCTCATCTCCGGCACATGCTGCCGTACAAACCACCAGGCAATGACTACAGCCATCTTCTAATGCATGAGTCTCAGGGACCTGGCTTAATTTTTATCACATCCTGATCTCTAGCAGTCTTTGACAGCATACAGACAGCACACCAGCAAAAGAGTAATCTGACATCCTGGATACACACCTAACAGTCATTTTGCCTTTCCTTTTTTATATTTTATTTTAAAGGTATTAACCTGTTACTGCAAATTTTGGCTACTAAGAGTTATGCAAAATAATCTGCAATTTGGAAAAGTCTGTTATCTTCCAAGCTTTCAAAACCTCAAAAACACCAAGTAAAGTTTGAACCAGTTCTGAACCAGCTTCTGGTCCCAAGACCCAGAGGTAAGACCAACGGAAACACAAATGGGAATGACGTGTTTGATAAAGAACTAAGTCTCTGGCGATCCTTTATTATTGCTATTTGAGAAGCAGCTATTTGTGGAAGTAAAATCCTGGTAACATTACTCACAGCCAGGCTTCATGAACTGCATCATGTAAAAGCTATAAAGCAGCATGGGGGTGTTATTTATACGTATATTTATAGCTGCAGTACTATTATTATTCTAGACACATCATGCCCACTCCTGCTCTGACTGACTTAGGGGGAAGAGAAGCTGACTGCAATCTTTTTGCAGCCTTCACAGAGATGCAGATGAACCTTATCATGAAAGGATTAAAGTTGAATTATTCTCCTGAGATGCCCAGTTATCCCTTAACTGAGCCCTTCAGGCTTTAACAATCAATCAAGTGGTATCACTGCTCCACATGCAAAGAGACATTTCCTCAAAGACATCCATCAATAGATGTAAAATAAAAATAAATTCTTAAACCAGATGTCATCAAAAATTCTTACCCAATGTGATTTGTTCTTAAAGAAATTTCCAGTTCTCGGAGGACTTGAGTAGACTCTTGGACTCGTCTTCTGAATTTCTGTAGTTGAGCGAGCAGGCAAAAAAAACAAACCCAAACAATTAGATTCATGTGATGCTATTAAAAATATCAACACCTCATAAGTACAGACTGAAAAATAAAATATTAAGGTAAACTGAGAACCCCTTTAAATCCTGAAGAATGCAACAGCAACAGTCTGGCAGTCAACAAGAATATGCACAAAAAAAATAACTTCTGTTTCCATGCACATTTTTGAGTTTCTAGGATTAAGACAATTAAAAGCCTGTAGATAAATAGACACATCTTTATAATACAAGTTTATT